TGAAGATGTCTGCATTATCGTTTAGCTGTGGGGTCTGGAAGGGGCTTCCTGTTGTCTGGGGCTGATTACGTCCATGGTTAATATATCCTCCCTGTGTAAAAGACAGTAAATCGTCCTTTAATGTATTTAATTTTCTTTGAAATTTACTAATCTTTTCCATTTGTGTATGCTGGCTTTCTCTCAACTGTTGGAGACTTTCTTCCTGTTTCTTTTTTCTGTCTCTGGTGCTGGTTTTCTTGCCAGTGCTGTAGTCTCTCTTCTTGTATATTTTCTTTCTCCTCCAACCACTGCTGTTGTCTCTCTTCTTGTTTATTTTCTCGTTCTTCTTGTTTCTTTTCTTTTTCTTCCAACAATTGCTGTAATCTCTCTTCTTGTTTATTTTGCTGTTCGAGCTGCAACTGTTGCTGGTTTTCTTGCCACTGCTGTTGTCTCTCTTCTTGTTTCTTTTCTTTTCCTCCCACAAATGCTGTAATCTCTCTTCTTGTTTCTTTTCTCGTTCTTCTTGTTTCTTTTCTTTTCCTCCCACAAATGCTGTAATCTCTCTTCTTGTTTCTTTTCTCGTTCTTCTTGTCTCTTGTCTCCTTTTTCTTGTTTCTTTTGCTGTTCTTTTATTGCTGCCATCAAATCTGCTAAGCTGTAGTTTGATTTGCCAATTCTCGTTTCCATCTTCTTTTTTTTCTGTCCCACAATCTGACACCAGTTTGTTATGTATCTGCTTGTTTGTTAATTTCCGGTTGAAATTATTTCCGAGGAACTTCAGCAATACCAAGTCCTTTCTTGATTAAACTAGTTTATTCTTTCTCGATTGAAACTTTTAGTACACAGTAATTTCACAATCAGTACGTTTCTCATCACTTTAAACTTAACTACTTTTATAATACTTTTATCACAGCGTTTCACAATCTCGATAACTTTGCACTCGTAGAGTGCAAAACACGTGCTACATCGAAACAGAATCGTAAATTACCCAGAACTCAAGTAACTACCATTTGCTTCTTCAACACCTGGCTTTTCTCTGTCAGGCTTGTATACCAACGAAGGGGCGTCTCGAATACACTCGGTCATCCCCGATTATTCATGATCATTCGAGAAATTCATCACGTGCCACCAGAGCCACGTGACTTCCGATGTTGTAACAGTGTGAACAGTCAATAAAAAGGGAAAGACGTGGTCATGAACAACTGGTATACCTAAGAGGTCAACAGACAACAGCATTGCAAAGAAGAACTTAGTTAGTTCAGGGATGAAAACAACAACATATTTTTATCCATTGTTCACGGCATATTGTTGTTTTCATCCCTGAACTAACTAAATTCTTCGTCACCATGTTGTTGTTTTCATCCCTGAACTAAGTTCTTTCTCATCAACATAGCGGTGAACAAAACAATCATATATGGGGTGAGAAAACAACATAGCTTGAACAACTCAATTATCTAATGGATGAACAACGTAATTATCTACACTGTGAACAATCTATAACATGGTGATGAATAACTTCATTGTGTATAGTTAAAAACGCAATGATATGACACTTAAAGGAACAAGGTAATTACCTAATATGTGAATAAACACATATAACCTTCAGGCATTAATTACTAATTTGCATATCATTTATATCGAATTAGCCTTTAATTAATTAACCATTAATTAGCATGTCGTTTGCATACTAATTC